AGACTGAGGAGGAGGAGACTGAGGAGGAGGAGACTGAGGAGGAGGAGACTGAGGAGGAGGAGACTGAGGAGGAGGAGACTGAGGAGGAGGAGACTGAGGAGGAGGAGACTGAGGAGGAGGAGACTGAGGAGGAGGAGACTGAGGAGGAGGAGACTGAGGAGGAGACTGAGGAGGAGGAGACTGAGGAGGAGGAGACTGAGGAGGAGGAGACTGAGGAGGAGACTGAGGAGGAGGAGACTGAGGAGGAGGAGACTGAGGAGGAGACTGAGGAGGAGACTGAGGAGGAGACTGAGGAGGAGGAGACTGAGGAGGAGACTGAGGAGGAGACTGAGGAGGAGGAGACTGAGGAGGAGGAGACTGAGGAGGAGGAGACTGAGGAGGAGACTGAGGAGGAGACTGAGGAGGAGGAGACTGAGGAGGAGACTGAGGAGGAGACTGAGGAGGAGGAGACTGAGGAGGAGGAGACTGAGGAGGAGGAGACTGAGGAGGAGACTGAGGAGGAGGAGACTGAGGAGGAGGAGACTGAGGAGGAGGAGACTGAGGAGGAGGAGACTGAGGAGGAGGAGACTGAGGAGGAGACTGAGGAGGAGGAGACTGAGGAGGAGACTGAGGAGGAGACTGAGGAGGAGACTGAGGAGGAGGAGACTGAGGAGGAGGAGACTGAGGAGGAGACTGAGGAGGAGGAGACTGAGGAGGAGACTGAGGAGGAGACTGAGGAGGAGGAGACTGAGGAGGAGGAGACTGAGGAGGAGGAGACTGAGGAGGAGACTGAGGAGGAGGAGACTGAGGAGGAGGAGACTGAGGAGGAGACTGAGGAGGAGGAGACTGAGGAGGAGACTGAGGAGGAGGAGACTGAGGAGGAGACTGAGGAGGAGGAGACTGAGGAGGAGACTGAGGAGGAGACTGAGGAGGAGGAGACTGAGGAGGAGAGACTGAGGAGGAGGAGACTGAGGAGGAGACTGAGGAGGAGGAGGAGACTGAGGAGGAGGAGACTGAGGAGGAGGAGACTGAGGAGGAGACTGAGGAGGAGGAGACTGAGGAGGAGGAGACTGAGGAGGAGGAGACTGAGGAGGAGGAGACTGAGGAGGAGACTGAGGAGGAGGAGACTGAGGAGGAGGAGACTGAGGAGGAGACTGAGGAGGAGACTGAGGAGGAGGAGACTGAGGAGGAGGAGACTGAGGAGGAGGAGACTGAGGAGGAGGAGACTGAGGAGGAGGAGACTGAGGAGGAGACTGAGGAGGAGGAGACTGAGGAGGAGACTGAGGAGGAGACTGAGGAGGAGGAGACTGAGGAGGAGGAGACTGAGGAGGAGGAGACTGAGGAGGAGGAGACTGAGGAGGAGGAGACTGAGGAGGAGGAGACTGAGGAGGAGGAGACTGAGGAGGAGACTGAGGAGGAGGAGACTGAGGAGGAGGAGACTGAGGAGGAGACTGAGGAGGAGACTGAGGAGGAGACTGAGGAGGAGGAGACTGAGGAGGAGGAGACTGAGGAGGAGGAGACTGAGGAGGAGGAGACTGAGGAGGAGGAGACTGAGGAGGAGACTGAGGAGGAGACTGAGGAGGAGGAGACTGAGGAGGAGGAGGAGACTGAGGAGGAGGAGACTGAGGAGGAGGAGACTGAGGAGGAGGAGACTGAGGAGGAGGAGACTGAGGAGGAGGAGACTGAGGAGGAGGAGACTGAGGAGGAGACTGAGGAGGAGGAGACTGAGGAGGAGGAGACTGAGGAGGAGACTGAGGAGGAGGAGACTGAGGAGGAGACTGAGGAGGAGGAGACTGAGGAGGAGGAGACTGAGGAGGAGGAGACTGAGGAGGAGGAGACTGAGGAGGAGGAGACTGAGGAGGAGGAGACTGAGGAGGAGGAGACTGAGGAGGAGGAGACTGAGGAGGAGGAGACTGAGGAGGAGGAGACTGAGGAGGAGACTGAGGAGGAGGAGACTGAGGAGGAGGAGACTGAGGAGGAGACTGAGGAGGAGGAGACTGAGGAGGAGGAGACTGAGGAGGAGGAGACTGAGGAGGAGGAGACTGAGGAGGAGACTGAGGAGAGACTGAGGAGGAGGAGACTGAGGAGGAGGAGACTGAGGAGGAGACTGAGGAGGAGACTGAGGAGGAGGAGACTGAGGAGGAGGAGACTGAGGAGGAGACTGAGGAGGAGGAGACTGAGGAGGAGGAGACTGAGGAGGAGGAGACTGAGGAGGAGGAGACTGAGGAGGAGACTGAGGAGGAGACTGAGGAGGAGGAGACTGAGGAGGAGGAGACTGAGGAGGAGGAGACTGAGGAGGAGGAGACTGAGGAGGAGGAGACTGAGGAGGAGACTGAGGAGGAGGAGACTGAGGAGGAGACTGAGGAGGAGGAGACTGAGGAGGAGGAGACTGAGGAGGAGAGACTGAGGAGGAGGAGACTGAGGAGGAGGAGACTGAGGAGGAGACGAGGAGGAGACTGAGGAGGAGGAGACTGAGGAGGAGGAGACTGAGGAGGAGGAGACTGAGGAGGAGGAGACTGAGGAGGAGACTGAGAGGAGCTGAGGAGGACTGAGGAGGAGGAGACTGAGGAGGAGGAGACTGAGGAGGAGGAGACTGAGGAGGAGGAGACTGAGGAGGAGACTGAGGAGGAGGAGACTGAGGAGGAGACTGAGGAGGAGGAGACTGAGGAGGAGGAGACTGAGGAGGAGGAGACTGAGGAGGAGGAGACTGAGGAGGAGGAGACTGAGGAGGAGGAGACTGAGGAGGAGGAGACTGAGGAGGAGACTGAGGAGGAGGAGACTGAGGAGGAGGAGACTGAGGAGGAGACTGAGGAGGAGGAGACTGAGGAGGAGGAGACTGAGGAGGAGGAGACTGAGGAGGAGGAGACTGAGGAGGAGACTGAGGAGGAGACTGAGGAGGAGGAGACTGAGGAGGAGACTGAGGAGGAGGAGACTGAGGAGGAGGAGACTGAGGAGGAGGAGACTGAGGAGGAGAGACTGAGGAGGAGGAGACTGAGGAGGAGGAGACTGAGGAGGAGGAGACTGAGGAGGAGGAGACTGAGGAGGGGCGTGGCTATCTGATGATTGACATTCACTGCGAGGAGGGGGCGTGGCTATCTGATGATTGACATTCGCTGTGTGGATGGGGCGTGGCTATCTGATGATTGACAATCGCTGTGTGGAGGGGGCGTGGCTATCGGATGATTGACATTTACTCTGTGTGTTGGACGTGGCTCTGTGATGATTGACATTCACTGCAAGGAGGGGCGTCGCTATCTAATGATTGACATTCGCTGCGAGGAGGGGGCGTGGCCATCTGATGATTGACATTCGCTGTGTAGAGGAGGCGTGGCTCTCCCATGATTGACATTCGCTGCGAGGAGGGGCGTGGCTATCTGATGATTGACATTCCCTGTGTGGAGGGGGCGTGGCCATCTGATGATTGACATTCGCTGTGTGGAGGGGGCGTGGCTATCTGATGATTGACATTCGCTGTATGGAGGGGGCGTGGCTATCTGATGATTGACATTTACTGAGTACTGGGTGTTGCTATCTGATGATGACATTCGCTGTGTGAGGAGGCGTGGCTCTCCCATGATTGACATTCGCTGCGAGGAGGGGCGTGGCTATCTGATGATTGACATTCACTGCAAGGAGGGGTGTCGCTATCTGATGATGACATTCGCTGTGTGGAGGGGGCGTGGCTATCTGATGATTGACATTTACTGAGTACTGGGTGTTGCTATCTGATGATTGACATTCGCTGCGAGGAGGGGCGTGGCTATCCGATGATTGACATTTACTGAGTACTGGGTGTGGCTCTCCCATGATTGACATTCGCTGTGTGGAGGAGGCGTGGCCATCTGATGATTGACATTCACGGTGTGTGTCGTGGCCGTGGCTCTCCCTTGACTGACATACACTCTGAGAACGGGGCGTGGCTCTGCAGTGATTGACAGTTACTGTGTGTAGTGGGCGTGGTTATGCTGTGATGGACAGGGCGTGGCTATCCGATGATTGACATTCACCGTGTGTAGTGGGCGTGGCTCTCCATTGACATTGACTCTGAGAAGCAGGCGTGGCTCCCTCGTGATTGACATTTACTGAGTTTAGTGGGCGTGGCCATACCGTGATTGACATTTATGGTGTTTAGTGGGCGTGGCTCTCCCGTGATTGACATTTACTGTGTGTAGTGGGCGTGGCTCCCTCGTGATTGACATTTACTGTGTGTAGTGGGCGTGGCCATACCGTGATTGACATTTACTGTGTTTAGTGGGCGTGGCCATCCCGTGATTGACATTCACCGTGTGTAGTGGGCGTGGCTCTCCATTGACATTGACTCTGAGAAGCAGGCGTGGCTCTCCCATGATTGACATTTACTGTGTGTAGTGGGCGTGGCCATCCCGTGATTGACATTCACTGTGTGTAGTGGGCGTGGCTCTCCATTGACATTGACTCTGAGAAGTGGGCGTGGCTCCCTCGTGATTGACATTTACTGTGTGGAGGGGGCGTGGCCATACGGTGATTGACATTTAGTGTGTGCAGTGGGCGTGGCTCTCCCATGATTGACATTTACTGTGTGTAGTGGGCGTGGCCATCCTATGATTGACATTTACTGTGTGGAGGGGGCGTGGCCATACGGTGATTGACATTTACTGTGTGTAGTGGGCGTGGCTCTCCTGTGATTGACATTTACTGTGTTTAGTGGGCGTGGCTCTCCTGTGATTGACATTTCGTGGCTCCCCCGTGATTGACAGGGAACTGACTTTGTTGTTCACCACGGAGAGGGATCGGCAGGGGGCGTGGCCACGCCGTGATTGACACGCGGCTCACGTTGTTATTGATCACTGACGCACGGGGCGTGGCTGTGGTGTGATTGACACAAGGGAACCCTGGGGTTTTCAATACAGTGCGACCGGCGGGGGCGTGGCTGACGTGTGACGCACGGGGCGTGGCCACGCCGTGATTGACACGCGGCCCCGGGGAGTCTCCGGGGGCGTGGCTTCACGGAGATTGACGCCGTGGGCGGGGCCAGACCGTGATTGACATTTTCACTCTCATTTATTGCAGTTTTCCGCAGCCCCGCCCCGGGACGTCGCCGGGCCCCGCCCCCTCACTTCCGGGCGAGCATGGCGGCGAACGGGCCCCGCGGGCAGCGCAGCCGGAAGTGACGGAAGCCAGCGGCCGCCGCCATTGCCCGGAACTCGGCCTCCGTGCGCTCGCGGCCCGCGGCCTGAGCGAGCATCGTGAGCGACAGCAGCAGCGCCGGAAGCGGGCCACGCCCTTCCGGGTCCAGCACCGCCTCCACCAGCAGCAGCGCGGAGCCTGCGGGGGCGGGGCCGGGGCGCTGACGTCACCGGGAGACCAGGCCCCGCCCCCCGGGTGCAGGCGCCGCCCCCGAGAGCCAAAGGGGCGGAGCCTGGGGCGCAGGGGCGGGGTCTGGGACACAAGGGCGGGGCCTGGGACGCAGGGGCGGGGCCTGGGACGCGGGGGCGGGGCCAGGGACGCCGGGGCGGGGCCTAGGACCAAGGGCGGGGCCTGGGACACAAGGGCTGGGCCTGGGACGCGGGGGCGCGGCCAGGGGCGCTGGGGCGGGGTCTGGGACAAAGGGGCGGGGCCTGGGAAGCAAGGGGCGGGGCCTGGGAAGCAAGGGGCGGGGCCTGGGACACAAGGGCGGGGCCTGGGATGCAAGGAGCGGGGCCTGGGAAGCAAGGGGCGGGGCCTGGGACACAAGGGCGGGGCCTGGGATGCAAGGGCGTGGCTATGGGCGGGGCGTCCGTGATTCCCGAGGACTGGGGGCGTGGCGTCAGCGCGGGTGATGTCAGGGAGACCTCAGGCCCCGCCCACTCAACAGAGGCCCCGCCCCTGAGCTTGAAACCCCGCCCCCAAGAGTTAAACCCCACCCAGCCGCCCGCAGGCCCCGCCCCTGACTGTGAAACCCCTCCCAATCGGTTCTAGGCCCCGCCCACGACAGTTAAACCCCGCCCCGCGGCCCCCAATCCCCGCCCCTCGCCCCGGGCCCCGCCCCGCCCACGCCCAGGCCCCGCCCCGCCCTCACCGCCGCGCGTGCGCCCCAGGATCTCCGCGCAGGCGCCGTCGCCCCAGTCGTGCAGGACCCGGGCCAGGATGTAGAGGTCGGCGGGGGGGAGGGGCGACCGGAAGAAGTCGCCTGCGGGGGGCGGGGCCTCGTGAGTGACGGTCCCGCCCACGGCCTCGAACCGGAAGTCCCACCCCAGCGCTCACATACCGGAAGTCCCGCCACTCACTGAAACCGGAAGTCTTGCCCATCATAGAAACCAGAAATCCCCCTTACCACAAACCGGAAGTAACGCCCCTAATCACATAAACCGGAAGTTCTGCCACCTCACTGAAACGGGAAGGGTCACACCCGCCACACAAACCGGAAGTCCCGTCCAACACTCACACCGGAAGTCCCGCCTCCAATGACAAAACGCGGTAGTTCCGCCCCTCACACAAACCGGAAGTCCTAACATCATACACCGGAAGACAGCGCAGACCCCGCCCCCTCACACACACAGTGACTGACAGTGCTGACCCCGCCCCTCACACACAGTGACTGACAGTGCTGACCCCGCCCCTCACACACAGTGACTGACAGTGCTGACCCCGCCCCTCACACACAGTGACTGACAGTGCTGACCCCGCCCTCACACACACACAGTGACTGACAGTGCTGACCCCGCCCCTCACACACACACAGTGACTGACAGTGCTGACCCCGCCCCCTCACACACACACAGTGACTGACAGTGCTGACCCCGCCCCTCACACACACACAGTGACTGACAGTGCTGACCCCGCCCCTCACACACAGTGACTGACAGTGCTGACCCCGCCCCTCACACACACACAGTGACTGACAGTGCTGACCCCGCCCCTCACACACAGTGACTGACAGTGCTGACCCCGCCCTCACACACACAGTGACTGACAGTGCTGACCCCGCCCCTCACACACACACAGTGACTGACAGTGCTGACCCCGCCCCTCACACACAGTGACTGACAGTGCTGACCCCGCCCCTCACACACACAGTGACTGACAGTGCTGACCCCGCCCCTCACACACACACAGTGACTGACAGTGCTGACCCCGCCCCTCACACACACAGTGACTGACAGTGCTGACCCCGCCCCTCACACACACACAGTGACTGACAGTGCTGACCCCGCCCCCTCACACACAGTGACTGACAGTGCTGACCCCGCCCCTCACACACACACAGTGACTGACAGTGCTGACCCCGCCCCTCACACACACAGTGACTGACAGTGCTGACCCCGCCCCTCACACACACAGTGACTGACAGTGCTGACCCCGCCCCTCACACACACACAGTGACTGACAGTGCTGACCCCGCCCCTCACACACACAGTGACTGACAGTGCTGACCCCGCCCCTCACACACAGTGACTGACAGTGCTGACCCCGCCCCTCACACACACACAGTGACTGACAGTGCTGACCCCGCCCCTCACACACACACAGTGACTGACAGTGCTGACCCCGCCCCCTCACACACACAGTGACTGACAGTGCTGACCCCGCCCCTCACACACACAGTGACTGACAGTGCTGACCCCGCCCCTCACACACACAGTGACTGACAGTGCTGACCCCGCCCCCTCACACACAGTGACTGACAGTGCTGACCCCGCCCCTCACACACACAGTGACTGACAGTGCTGACCCCGCCCCTCACACACAGTGACTGACAGTGCTGACCCCGCCCCCTCACACACACACAGTGACTGACAGTGCTGACCCCGCCCCTCACACACACAGTGACTGACAGTGCTGACCCCGCCCCCTCACACACACAGTGACTGACAGTGCTGACCCCGCCCCTCACACACACAGTGACTGACAGTGCTGACCCCGCCCCTCACACACACACAGTGACTGACAGTGCTGACCCCGCCCCTCACACACACAGTGACTGACAGTGCTGACCCCGCCCCTCACACACACAGTGACTGACAGTGCTGACCCCGCCCCTCACACACACAGTGACTGACAGTGCTGACCCCGCCCCTCACACACACAGTGACTGACAGTGCTGACCCCGCCCTCACACACACACAGTGACTGACAGTGCTGACCCCGCCCCTCACACACACACAGTGACTGACAGTGCTGACCCCGCCCCTCACACACACAGTGACTGACAGTGCTGACCCCGCCCCTCACACACACACAGTGACTGACAGTGCTGACCCCGCCCCTCACACACACACAGTGACTGACAGTGCTGACCCCGCCCCTCACACACACACAGTGACTGACAGTGCTGACCCCGCCCCTCACACACACACAGTGACTGACAGTGCTGACCCCGCCCCTCACACACACACAGTGACTGACAGTGCTGACCCCGCCCCTCACACACACACAGTGACTGACAGTGCTGACCCCGCCCTCACACACACACAGTGACTGACAGTGCTGACCCCGCCCCTCACACACACACAGTGACTGACAGTGCTGACCCCGCCCCTCACACACACACAGTGACTGACAGTGCTGACCCCGCCCCTCACACACACAGTGACTGACAGTGCTGACCCCGCCCTCACACACACACAGTGACTGACAGTGCTGACCCCGCCCCTCACACACACACAGTGACTGACAGTGCTGACCCCGCCCCTCACACACACAGTGACTGACAGTGCTGACCCCGCCCCTCACACACACACAGTGACTGACAGTGCTGACCCCGCCCCTCACACACACAGTGACTGACAGTGCTGACCCCGCCCCTCACACACACACAGTGACTGACAGTGCTGACCCCGCCCTCACACACACACAGTGACTGACAGTGCTGACCCCGCCCCTCACACACACAGTGACTGACAGTGCTGACCCCGCCCCTCACACACACACAGTGACTGACAGTGCTGACCCCGCCCCTCACACACACACAGTGACTGACAGTGCTGACCCCGCCCCTCACACACACACAGTGACTGACAGTGCTGACCCCGCCCCTCACACACAGTGACTGACAGTGCTGACCCCGCCCCTCACACACACAGTGACTGACAGTGCTGACCCCGCCCCTCACACACACACAGTGACTGACAGTGCTGACCCCGCCCCTCACACACACACAGTGACTGACAGTGCTGACCCCGCCCCTCACACACACAGTGACTGACAGTGCTGACCCCGCCCTCACACACACACAGTGACTGACAGTGCTGACCCCGCCCCTCACACACACACAGTGACTGACAGTGCTGACCCCGCCCCTCACACACAGTGACTGACAGTGCTGACCCCGCCCTCACACACACACAGTGACTGACAGTGCTGACCCCGCCCCTCACACACACACAGTGACTGACAGTGCTGACCCCGCCCCTCACACACACACAGTGACTGACAGTGCTGACCCCGCCCCTCACACACACACAGTGACTGACAGTGCTGACCCCGCCCTCACACACACACAGTGACTGACAGTGCTGACCCCGCCCCTCACACACACACAGTGACTGACAGTGCTGACCCCGCCCCTCACACACACACAGTGACTGACAGTGCTGACCCCGCCCCTCACACACACAGTGACTGACAGTGCTGACCCCGCCCCTCACACACACACAGTGACTGACAGTGCTGACCCCGCCCCTCACACACACACAGTGACTGACAGTGCTGACCCCGCCCTCACACACACACAGTGACTGACAGTGCTGACCCCGCCCCTCACACACACAGTGACTGACAGTGCTGACCCCGCCCCTCACACACACAGTGACTGACAGTGCTGACCCCGCCCCTCACACACACACAGTGACTGACAGTGCTGACCCCGCCCCTCACACACACACAGTGACTGACAGTGCTGACCCCGCCCTCACACACACACAGTGACTGACAGTGCTGACCCCGCCCCTCACACACACACAGTGACTGACAGTGCTGACCCCGCCCCTCACACACACAGTGACTGACAGTGCTGACCCCGCCCCTCACACACACACAGTGACTGACAGTGCTGACCCCGCCCCTCACACACACAGTGACTGACAGTGCTGACCCCGCCCCTCACACACACAGTGACTGACAGTGCTGACCCCGCCCCTCACACACAGTGACTGACAGTGCTGACCCCGCCCCTCACACACACACAGTGACTGACAGTGCTGACCCCGCCCCTCACACACAGTGACTGACAGTGCTGACCCCGCCCCTCACACACACACAGTGACTGACAGTGCTGACCCCGCCCCTCACACACAGTGACTGACAGTGCTGACCCCGCCCCTCACACACACACAGTGACTGACAGTGCTGACCCCGCCCCCTCACACACACACAGTGACTGACAGTGCTGACCCCGCCCCCTCACACACAGTGACTGACAGTGCTGACCCCGCCCCTCACACACACACAGTGACTGACAGTGCTAACCCCGCCCCCGTCACACACCGTAAGTCCTACCCCTCACACCGGAAGTCCCTCCACTCACACCGGAAATCCCGCCCCTCACACCGGAAGTGCCCCCCACCTCCCACGAAGCGGATGGGCGGGGCCTCCCCCGGCTCCCGGAAGTGCTCCTGGGCGGCGGCCACGACCTCCGGTGTCTCGAACACGGTGACGTCACTTCCGGGGTAGAGGCGGGCACAGGCGGTGGCCAGGGCGCCGGATCCTCCTGGGGCGTGGTCAGGGCGTGGTCAGGGCGTGGCCTGGGCGTGGTCAGGGCGTGGCCGGGGCGTGGTCAGGGGTGGTCACACCCTCGGGGCGGAGTCTGGGCATCAGGGGCGGGGTCCCCTCCCGGGTGGGCGTGTCCCCGGTGGGTGTGTCCCGAGTGGGCGGGGCTGACCTCCCACGTCGCATATGACCCGGAACTCCGAGAGGTCAAAGGCCGCGAGCACCGGCCCCGCCCAGAGGCTCCAGGTCTCCTGCATCGCGCGCATGAAGAGCAGACGCTCGGGCTCGGTCCTGGGGCAAAAACCGGGGCAAATAATCCACAGGAAGGGCAAATAACCGACGGGGGGGCAAATAATCCTCAGGGAGGGCAAATAACTGACGGGGGGGACAAATAATCCTCGGTGAGGGGCAAATATTCCACGGGCGGGGCAAATAATCCTCAGGGAGGGGCAAATAATCCTCAGGGAGGGGCAAATAATCCATGGGGAGGGGCAAATATTCCACGGGAGGGGCAAATATTCCACGGGAGGAGCAAATAATCCACGGGGGGCAAATAATCCACGGGGGGGCAAATAATCTACAGAGGGGCAAATAATCTACAGGGGGAGCAAAATTCCACATGGGGGCAAATAATCTTCGGGGAGGGGCAAATAATCTAGGGGGAGGGGCAAATAATAATCCACAGAGGGGCAAATAATCCACGGGGAGGGGCAAATAATCCACACTGGGGGCAAATAACCCACGAGGAGAGGCAAATGATCCACAGGGAGGGCAAATAAACCATGGGTCGGGGAATATAATAGATGGGGAGGGGCAAATAATCCAGGGAGGGGCAAATAATCCACGCGAGGGGCAAATAATCCACAGTGAGGAGCAAATAATCCTCAGGGCGGGGCAAATAATCCACGGTGAGGGGCAAATAATCCACAGGAGGGGCAAATAATCCACAAGGCGGGGCAAATAATCTACGGGGGGCAAATAATCAACAGGGGCGCAAATAATCCAGGGAGGGGCAAATAATCCATGGGGGGCAAATAATCCACACTGGGGGCAAATAATCCACAGGGGGGCAAATAATCCACGGTGGGGCAAATAATCCACGGTGGGGCAAATAATCCACACTGGGGGCAAATAATCCACACTGGGGGCAAATAATCCACACTGGGGGCAAATAATCCACAGGGCGGAGCAAATAATCCACGGTGGGGGCAAATAATCCAGGGAGGGGCAAATAATCCACGGGGTGTGGCAAATAATCCACACTGGGGGCAAATAATCCACAGTGGGGGCAAATAATGCACAGGGAGGGGCAAATAATCCACACTGGGGGCAAATAATCCACAGTGGGGGCAAATAATGCACAGGGAGGGGCAAATAATCCACGGGGCGGGGCAAATAATCCAGGGGGCGGGGCCGCCCTCACCTGTAAATGGCCGCGAACGGCTCCCGCGTGGCCACGCCCAGCACTTCCGGGTTTTGGTTCCGCCCTTCCCTGGGGGCGGGGCCGGGCTCAGACTCCGCCCCTCGCACAGGAGACCCCGACCCTTGGTGCCCGACTCCGCCCCTGCGTCCTGAAACCCCGCCTTAATCCAGGCCCCGCCCCTTCCTCTAGGCCCCACCCACAGATTCAAAGCCCCGCCCACGGCCTCGAGACCCTGCCCCTCGGCGTCTAACTCCGCCCCTCTCCTCCAAGCCCCGCCCCTCGCCCCAGGCCCCGCCCTCACCTCACGGCCCCGCCCAGCCGCGCCCACACGGCCCTCGTGGCCCCGCCCAGGAAGCTCAGCGTCGCGCGTTGGGTGTGGGGGCTGCGGGCGGCCAGGAGCTGGCGGGAGGCGGGGCTCAGGGCGTAGGCGCCTGGGGGCGGGGCCGTGACGTCAGAGGGGCGGGGTTACAGGAGTGGCGGGGCCACGGGAGGGGCGGGGCCAGAGAGACGACGTCAGCGTCAGAAACGGAAATGGAAGAGACTCGGGGGCGGGGCTACAGTACCGGGGCGGAGCTACAGTACCCGGGCGGAGCTACAGCGACGGGGGTGGAGCTACAGTGCCAGGGGCGGAGCTACAGTGTCGGGGGCGGAGCCAAAGTGATTCTGGGCGAGCTACAGTGTCGGGGGCGGAGCTACAGTACCGGGGCGGAGCTACAGTTATTCTGGGCTGAGCTACAGTGTCGGGGGCGGAGCTACAGCGACGGGGGCGGAGCTACAGTGCCGGGGGCGGAGCTACAGTGCCGGGGGCGGAGATACAATGATTCTGGGCGGAGCTACAGTGATTCTGGGCGAGCTACAGTGATTCTGGGCAGAGCTACAGTGATTCTGGGCAGAGCTACAGTGATTCTGGGCGGAGCTACAGTGACGGGGGCGGAGCTACAGTGACGGGGGCAGAGCTGCAGTGATGGGGCGGAGCTACAGTGCCGGGGGCGGAGCTACAGCGACAGGGGCGGAGCTAAAGTGATTCTGGGCAGAGCTACAGTGACGGGGGTGGAGCTACAGTGATTCTGGGCAGAGCTACAGTGATGGGGGCGAAGCCGGGGGCGGAGCTACAGCGACAGGGGCGGAGCTACAGTGATTCTGGGCAGAGCTGCAGTGATGGGGGCGGAGCTACAGTGCCGGGGGCGGAGCTACAGCGACGGGGGCGGAGCTACAGTGATTCTGGGCAGAGCTACAGTGCCGGGGGCGGAGCTACAGTGCCGGGGGCGGAGCTACAGTGCCGGGGGCGGAGCTACAGTGATTGTGGGCAGAGCCAAGCTGTGATTGACGTTGCCCCGCCCCGCGTCACCGCCCAGGCCTCGCCCCGCCCCGCGTCACCGCCCAGGCCCCGCCCCGCGTCACCGCCCAGGCCCCGCCCCGCCCCGCGTCACCGCCCGGGCCCCGCCCCGCCCCGCCCCGCGTCACCGCCCAGGCCCTGCCCCAGTCCCGCCCCGCCCCGCGTCACCGCCCAGGCCGCGCCCCGCCCCGCGTCACCGCCCAGGCCCCGCCCCGCGTCACCGCCCAGGCCCCGCCCCGCCCCGAGTCACCGCCCAGGCCCCGCCCCGCCCCGCGTCACCGCCCAGGCCCCGCCCCAGTCCCGCCCCGCCCCGCGTCACCGCCCGGGCACCGCCCCGCCCCGCCCCGCGTCACCGCCCAGGCCGCGCCCCGCCCCGCCTCACCGCCCAGGCCCCGCCCCAGGCCCCGCCCCGCCCCGCCCCGCGTCACCGTCCGGGCCCCGCCCCAGCAGCCCCAGCTCCGCGCAGGCGTCGAGCAGAAGCCCCGCCCCCCGGGGGTCCAGGCCGAGGGCGGCGGCCAGGGCGGGGCCGTCGCGGGGGGCGGGGTCCAGGGCGTCGAACACGCCCAGCTCGCAGGCCGTGAACAGCACCTGGGGGCAGATGGGGGCGGGGGAACATCCTGGGGCAAATCCCGGGGCTGGGGGGCAAATCCGGGGCAGGGGGGGCAAAACCTGGGGCAAATCCCGGGGCTGGGGGCAAATCCCGGGGATAGGGGGCAAATCCCGGGGATGGGGGGCAAATCCGGGGCAGGGGGCAAATCCCGGGGATGGGGGGCAAATCCAGTGCAGGGGGCAAATCCTGGGGAGAGGGGGCAAATACTTGGAACCCAGGGTCTCTTAGGGGCAATAAAAGAGACTGGGGGCAAATAACAAGGGAACAGAGGTCTCCCGGGGCAAATATCAGGATCTCAGGGGCAAAACACAACGGACTGGGGCAAAATCCAGAGACTGGGGGGCAAATGACGGGGCTGGGGTCAAATTCTAAGGCAACTTGAGGCCTCCCGGGGCAAATCCTGGGGCTGGGTGTCTCTCGGGGGCAAATTCCATGGTTTCGGGGGCAAATACTCGGAACTCAGGGCAAATCAGACAGGCAGGGGGCAAATAATCAGGGATTGTGGGGTCCCGGGGCAAATCCCAGGATCACAGTTTAATCCCTGGGGCAAATCCTGGGGCTCTGGGGGCAAATCCCAGGGAATTAGGGGCAAATACCAAGGAGCTCAGGGTCTGTCGGGGCAAATCTCTGAGGCTGGGGCAGTTATCCCGGGATGTGCGGGGTCCCTGGTGGCAGTTTTGAGGTGGGGGGCAGCAGGTATTATTACCCGTGGGGGGCAATTAATATGGACCCCTGGGGCAGCTGTTATTATCCCCGGGGCAGTCATTACACCCTGGGGCAATTATTTTTTTCCAGGGCATTAGTTATTACCCCCGGGGCAGTTACATTTGTACCCGGGGTAGTTATAATTTTTTCCCAGAGCAGTTAATACCCTGGAGCAGTTATATTTACCCCAGGGCAGTTTGATATTCACCCCCAGGGCAGTTATATTTACCCTGGGGCAGTTGTTATTACCCCCAGGGCAGTTGTTATCATCCCGAGGCAGTTATTTATTACCCCCGGGGCAGTTATTTTTTTCTGGGGCAGTTGTTATTACCCCCGGGGCAGTTGTTATTACCCCCGGGGCAGTTGTATTTACCCCAGGGCAGTTATATTTGCCCCCCCAGGACAGTTATTACACCCGGGGCATTTTTATTTATCCCGGAGCAGTTATATTTACCCCGGGGCAGTTGTTATTACCCCCGGGACAGTTGTTATTAACCCCGGGGCAGTTATAATTTTTTCTAGGGCAGTTGTTGGTACCGCCGGGGCAGTTATATTTGCCCCCCCAGGACAGTTATTACCCCCGGGGCAGTTGTTATTACCCCCGGGGCAGTTCCCACCTGCGACCCCATGAACGCCGTCGCCAGCTCCATCAGACGCTGGAAATCCCCGTCCAGCTCCGCCTCCGACATCGCCGCAGCTGCCCCGGCCGGGGGAGAAACAAAGCCCTAAATACCCCGGGGGGCGGGGCCGGGGCAGATCCGCACGCACGCGGGCGGGGCCTGGGGCGGAGCCTGAGGGGCGGGGACAGTGACTGACGTCAAAGGGGGGGAAGTCCCGCCCTCAAAACATGGGAGACAGACAAGAGGCGGGAGGAAGTCCCGCCCACTTCTCAAGACATGGGGAGACTGACAGGGACAGGGAGGAAGTCCCGCCCTCAGGACCCGGGCGACTGACAAGGTCGGGGAGGAAGTCCTGCCCTCATACCACGGGAGACTGACAAGACGCGGGAGGAAGTCCCGCCCTCATGAACAGAAGACGGATGGACCGGGGAGGAAGTCCCGCCCTAAGGACAAGAGAGACTGACATGGACGGAGAGGAAGTCCCGCCCTCTCTTTGAGAACACGGGAGACTGACGGAGACGGGGAGGAAGTCCCGCCCTCAGCACACACTACACTGACAGAAGATATGTGGGAAGTCCCGCCCCCGAGAATGACGTCACAGGGAAAATCGGAAGCCGGTCTCTTTATTGACATCCAAGGGGCGGAGCCTCCTCCCCGCGCCCGGCAGTGACCACGCCCCCACCCTCCGCGTCACCGCTTCCGGGGCGAGCGCGAGCGGCCGTGGTCCCCGCCCCTGCGGTGCCGGCTGCGCCTGCGCTGCTCGCGCCCCTCCCCGCGGCGGCCCCGTCCCTCGCGCGCGTCCCCGACGACGTCGTCCTCGCCGCCGCTTCCGGCCCGCGCCAGGCGCTTCCGGCTCTGACGCACCTCCTCTTCCGGTTTCGGCGGCGTCGGCGTCTCCATGGCAGCAGGGGGCGGGGCCTCGGGGCCGAGAGGGGCGGGGCCGCGGGCCGAAACGCGCTGCAGCACCTCCAGCACGGGGCCTAGGAGGTCGCGCGGGCCGGAAGTGGGCGCGGAGACGCCGGAAGGAGAGGTCGGGGCGTCGCCGGAAGGGGCGGGGCCCCGCGCCAGCAGCAGCCCCAGCAGCCGCCGCCTCAGCTCCCGCTCGCGACGCTGCAGCCCCAGCGCCCGGCGCTGCTCCTCCTCCACGCGGCGTAGCTCCGCCTCCTGCTGCGCGCGCCGCCGCCGCCCATCGCGCAGGCGCGCCGCCTGGGGGGAGGAGCCAAGTCAGCGCGGGCGGGGCTGCGGCGGCAGGGGGCGGGGCTGCGGGCAGCGGGAGACGTTAGAGACCGCGGGGCGGAGTCAGGGAGAGGGGGAGGAGCCACGTCAGCGGGGGCGGGGCTGCCGTGGGAGGGGGCCTGGCCACGGGCAGCGGGAGACATAAGGAGGCTCGCGAGGGCGGGGAAAGACAGATGGGGAGGAGCCAGAGTCAGCGGGGGCGGAGCTGCGGCGGCAGGGGCGGGGCTGCTGGCAGCGGCAGACGTTAGAGCACGAGGGGCGGGGTCAGGGAGAGAGGGAGAAGATCCGCGTGAGCGGGGGCGGGGCTACGTGAGCGGGAGACGTCAGGACACGCGGGGAGCGGGGAATGTGACGGGGAGGAGCCAGAGTCAGCAGGGGCGGGGCTAGCGCAGAAGGGGGCGGGGCTACAGGCTGCAGGACTCATCAGGACACCCGGGGGGCGGGGAAAGACAGGTGGGGAGGAGCCAGAGTCAGCAGGGGCGGGGCTGCGGGCAGCGTGAGACGTCAGGACGCGCGCGGGGCGGGGCTACAGGCAGGGGGCGGGGGCCGGTGGTGTGAGGGGCGGGGTCGGGACGAGGGAGGCGGGGTTAGAGGATGGGTCGGGGCTACAGCTACGGGGGCGGAGCTATGAGAATAATCATAGGGTGTCCTGGGAGGAGTCAGGGGCGACTGTGGGCGGGGCCAGCGAGAGGGAAGGGCGGAGACTTCAGTCAGGGGGCGGGGCCAGAGGTGGAAATGAGGTGATTCACAGTGGGCGGGGATAGAGATGACAGGGGCGGAGTCAGGCCACAAGGGGCGTGTCTACGGGGTACGGGGCAGGGTTAGGGGCTTACAGGGCGGGGTTACAGGATAGGGGCGGGGACAGGGATGTAATGGAGGATGGTGATTGGATGGTGGATGGGAAAGGGGCGGGGTTGAGTGGAAATGGGCGGAGACACACCCCAGGCATTCATTCTATCAGTCGTTCCTTCCCGCCCGGCCCCGCCCCCTGCCCCGCCCGGCCCCGCCCTCACCTCCGCCCGCCCCAGCAGGGCGGCCACCAGCCGCAGGCTCTGCAGGTTGCGCTGGGCCAGCAGCAGCTTCCGCTCCTCCGCCCGCACCCGGACCCGCAGCCCCGCCTCCACTTCCGGTTTCACTTCCGTTTCCGGTTTCGCTTCCGCTTCCGGTTTCACTTCCGTCTCGGCCTCCTCCGCCCGGCGCCGCCGCCGCCGCCTCCGCTCCCGGCGCAGCTCCCGGCGGCGCAGCTTCTCCCCCCCCCGGCGCCGCTCCCGCTCCCGCTGCTCCGCCTCGCGCCTTTCCCTGCGGGGGGCGTGGCCGGGGTCACGGGTGGACACGCCCCAGACCGGAAATGGCCACGCCCCAGACCGGAAGTGGCCATTCCAGCCCCTCAGACGGGGTTTTTCGGCAGGGAATCCTCACTTCCGGCCGCGCCCAGCCACACCCCGGGTACCCAGGCCCTATATGACCCTCCACGGACCGGAAGTGGCCACGCCCCAGACCGGAAGTGGCCACAACCATCCCTGTGGATGCTGTTTAAGGCAGGAAGTCCCCGTTTCCGGCCCCGCCCAGCCACGTCCCGGGTACTCCGCGTCCATATGACACTCCCCAGACCGGAAGTAGCCACAACCAACGCCCTGGTCGCGGGTTTCGGCAGGGAGACCCCGTTTCCGGCCCGCCCCGCGGCCCCGCCCACCGCTCCTCCGCCCGGCGCCGCTCCTCCGCCTCCCGCTCGCGCCGCTTCTGCTCCTCGCGCTGGGCCTCGAGCTCCCGCAGCTTCTGCCGCTCCAGCTGCCGCCGCCGCACGGAGGCGTCGCTCAGGTGCTTGGTGGCGTCGAAGGAGACCTGGGCGGAGCCGGGGCGGGGTCGTTAGGGGCCTCGGAGAGAGGCCACGCCCACCCCAGCGCGGCTCCACCCATCTCAGCGCGACCACGCCCACCCGGGAGGTCCCCAAGGCTCCCGGGAAGCCACGCCCTAGTGGATTTCGGGGGCCACGCCCACTTCCCGGAAGCCCCGCCCATCCCGATGTGGCTGGATCCGCCCAACATGAGTTTGCCACGCCCACTGCGTCCATGCTGGCCCCGCCTGGCTTTCCCAGAGGCCACACCCACTATGTAATGGTAAATCCCCGCCCTCTGCATGCATGGAGACCCCGCCCACCTACCAAGAAGCCCCGCCCACACGCCGGAAACGCCCCTCCCGCCAGGAAATAAAGGTCTACGCCCAGCCTCATGCGTGGAGACCCCGCCCACCGCGGAACACGCCCACTCAAGAGGCCCCGCCCACCCTGGAAGCCCCACCCACCCCACTATAGCCCACCCAGTACTTCCAGGAGGCCCCGCCCACACTCACATTTCCACAGGCCCCTCCCACCAGCGACCACGCCCATCCAGGAATCCCCGCCCCCTCAAAGCCCCGCCCAGATCGAGGTTATCAACCGCACCCACCCGGCTCTGGTAGCCCCGCCCACCCCAGAAGCCCCGCCCACGCTATCATTTCCAACCCCGCCCAACGAGACCGCGCCCACCGCCGACCACGCCCAGCCTGCCTGCTCCGCCCACACCCTGGAGCCCCACCCCTCGCCCCCGGGGGCCCCGCCCACCTTGATGTTGCAGGCCACCGCCTTGCCGTCCTCGCCCTTGAACATGAGCTTGGTGCCGCGCAGGGCGGCCATGGCGCGGGCGAACCCCGCGTACTCGCGGTACTGCACGAAGGCCTCGAAGTGCAGGTGGCCCCCGAAGCTGAACGTGTGGAAGCTGCGCCCCGCCCCGGACGCGCCCCCGGGCCCCGCCCCTCCGCCCACGCCGCCGGCCACGCCCCCGGGCGCCGCCCCCGACGCCGCCCGACGCCTCCCCGCGGTACGGGTCCAGCATGGGGATGTCCACCTGGCGGATGTCGCCGAACGCCCGGAAGGCCTGGCGCAGCAGCGCCTCGCTGGGCCGCTCTGACGCCGCCAACCCGGAAGCGGACCCGGAAGCGGAAGTGGACCCGGAAGCGGACCCGGAAGCGGACCCGGAAGCGGCGGCCTCCCCGCCGCGGGGCGCGAACCAGCGGCAGGGCAGCCCCTCGAGGTGGATGGTGTCGGGGCGCTCGCCGGGCAGGGCCTCGTCCATGTCGGGGGCGTCGCGGAAGAAGGCGTCCCAGTCGTGGCGGGAGGGGAAGTCGGGGCGGAACTCGGCGGCGCGGACGCGCAGGGCGTCGGCGAAGCCGCTGAGCTTGATGGTCTTGCCGTCCAGGCGGGCGAGGAAGGGGCGGACCAGGGCGCGGTTCTCCACCTCCGCCTCGAAGCGGATGAACTCGAGCGTGCTCTTGGCGATGCGCAGCGACGACAGCTGCGGCGGGCGTGGCCCCGGCGTTGCCGGCGCGGCGGCGGCGGCGCTGGCGGGGCCCGTGGGCGTGTCCCCGGCGTCGGGCGGCGTGGCGGGCGCGGCCACCATGGCCTTGAGGCGCTCCATGACCTCCCAGTTGGAGATGGACTTGCCCGGCTGCCGCAGCGGGGGCAGCGCCACGCTGATCGCCACCTTGGTGATCGGCTTCAGGTACAGCCCCAGGGCGGGGCACAGCGCCACCGCCCCCGACGGGTCGTGCACGATCGTCGCCCCACCTGACATGGCGCTGGGCGGGGTCCGCGTAGGGCTGCGGGGGGAGGGGAGGCGTCAGCTGGGTCGCGCTTCCTGTTTCCGGGGTCCCCACTTCATGACCTGAGACTCTGGAGTCCCCACTTCCTGTTCCCCACTTCCTGTCCCGAGACTCTGCGGTCCCCACTTCCTGTTCTGAGACTCTGGGGTCCCCACTTCCTGTTCCCCACTTCCTCTCCTGATAATCTAGGGTCACCACTTCCTGTTCCCCACTTCCTGTCCCGAGACTCTGCGGTCCCCACTTCCTGTTCTGAGACTCTGGGGTCCCCACTTGCTGTTCCCCACTTCCTCTCCTGATAATCTAGGGTCACCACTTCCTGTTCCCCACTTCCTGTCCCAAGACTCTTCGGTCCCCACTTCCTGTTCTGAGACTCTGGGGTCCCCACTTCCTGTTCCCAGGGTCCCAACTTCCTGTCCCTGAGACTCTGGGGTCCCTACTTCTTGTCCCTGAGACTCTGGGGTCCCCACTTCCTGTTCTGAGACTCTGGGTCCCCAATTTCTGTTCCTGAGACTCTGGGGTCCTCACTTCCTGTTCCCCACTTCCTGTCCCGAGACTCTTCGGTCCCCACTTCCTGTTTTGAGACTCTGGGGTCCCCACTTCCTGTTCTGAGACTCTGGTGTCCCAACTTCCTGTTCCTCACTTCATCCTGATAATCTAGGGTCACCACTTCCGGTTCCCCACTTCCTGTCCCGAGACTCTTCGGTCCCCACTTCCTGTTCTGAGACTCTGGAGTCCCCACTTCCTGTTCTGAGACTCTGAGGTGTACACTTCCTGTCCCTGAGATTCTGTCGTCCCCACTAACTGTCCCGTTTCCTGCTCTCTTCCTCTAACTTCCTGTCCCGCTGTGAGTCACTTCCTGTCTCACTTCCTTTTCCTCTTCCCACTTCCAGTTACAAAGAGTGGAAGACCCGCCCACAGCCGTCAGTCTCCCTCAGACTCCGCCCCCGGCCATCAGTCTCCCTCAGACTCCGCCCCTGGCCCTCAGACTCCGCCCCTCGCCTTCAGTCTATCTCAGACTCCGCCCCTGGCCATCAGACTCCGCCCCCGGCCGTCAGTCTCCCTCAGACTCCGCCCCCGGCCGTCAGTCTCCCTCAGACTCCGCCCCCGGCCGTCAGTCTCCCTCAGACTCCGCCCCCGGCCGTCAGTCTCCCTCAGACTCCGCCCCCGGCCGTCAGTCTCCCTCAGACTCCGCCCCTGGCCCTCAGACTCCGCCCCCGGCCGTCAGTCTCCCTCAGACTCCGCCCCCGGCCCTAAGACTCCGCCCCCGGCCGTCAGTCTCCCTCAGACTCCGCCCCCGGCCGTCAGTCTCTCTCAGACTCCGTCCCCGGCCGTCAGTCTCCCTCAGACTCCGCCCCCGGCCCTAAGACTCCGCCCCCGGCCGTCAGTCTCCCCCAGACTCCGCCCCCGGGCCGTCAGTCTCCGCTCAGGCCCCGCCTCCCGGAGCCCCCGCACGGGGTCTCCTCCTCTCACCTCCGCGGGCTCCGCCGCCGCCGCCCGGGATCAAAGCTCGGAGCGTTCGCGGCTCAGACGCCAGAGACCGACGGACGCCCCGCCCGGAGACGCGCTTCCGCTTCCTGTCTGCCGAATGCCGCGGCGCGGGACGCGGGTCACACTGCCCGGCTTCCGCCTGGCTTCGTCCCGCCAGTAGATGAAACTTCCGGTGGGGCGCTTCCGGTTAGATCAGGGCGGGATCCCGCGATCGCGCGAGAAATTTCGCTTGGGTTGCGCGGGCCGCCCGGCTTCCGGTCGGCTTCGGCTGCCAGGAGTAGAGACTTCCGGTCTATCGCTTCCAGATCGGGACGAGCGAACGCACGGCGACTACTGACAAGAATTCGTCCGCACGCCTTCCGGTTGGCTTCGGCTGCCAGGAATTGAGACCTCCGTTCTAACGCTTCCAGACCGGGACGAACGAACGCACGGCGCCTACGCCCGGCTTCCGCTTGGCTTCGTGTCGCCAGGAGTAGCTACTTCCGGTCTGCGTCTGCGCCTAACGCTGCCAGATTTCCTGTTGTCTTCGGATTGCCAGGTCGCGTCAATTCCGTTACCCTTCCGAAGCTCAGCGTGCCCCACTTCCTGCTAGCTTCAGATTGCCAGGACCAAAGACTTCCGGTCCGCGGCTGAATCTCCGTCTGCCCTGCTTCCGGTTGGCTTCAGTTTGCCAGGCCCTAGCGCTTCCGGTCGGCTTCCAGTGTCTTTGCAGCGCCCGCGTCTGACTCGCGGATGCATCCGGCGAGTGCGCTGTCCCTGTCCGGCTTCCGCTTCCGGTCCCCGGGACACACGAGCTCGGGCCCGTCCCTCTCTCAGACGGCAACGAGGGACCCAGACCGAGACCAGACGGCGCCCTGCAGACGGGACTTCCGGTGACACAGGGAAACCCGAGGTAGATTGACAGGCTGGTGGCGGGTTTCCGGTTTATACAGGGCACCGGGGCCGAGATTGACGGGCGGGGGGCGGGACTTCCCATTAAACCCAGGGCAGCAGGGCAAAGATTGATGGGCGGGGGCGGGATATCCCGTTCATACAGGGCACCGGAGCAGAGATTGACAGGCCGCGGGAGGGACTTCCTGTCATAACTGAGATTGACGGGTCGGGGGTGGGATTTCCCGTTATAACTGAGATTGACGGGCGGGGGCGGGATTTCCCATTCATAGAGGGCACCGGGGCCGAGATTGACAGGCTGGGGGCGGGACTTCCCGTTATAACCGAGATTGACGGGCCGGGGGCGGGACTTCCTCGTCTGATTTTCTTTTTCCCCCGCCGCAGCCGATGAAGTCGCCGGCGTGGGCGTGGCCGCCGTTCCCGGAAGCGGAAGCCCTGGCGCCGCTGCGGCTGCTGCGGGGAAAGCGCGTGGTGCTGGCTAGCGGCTCCCCGCGGAGGCGGGACATCCTGCTGCGCGCGGTGACGCACGGGGGGCGGGGCCTGGGCGGTGGGGGCGGCTTCCGGGGGGCGGGGGCGGCGCCTGATTGACAGCCGGAGGCCCCAGAGCGGTTTCGAGGGGCGGGGCCGGCGCCTGATTGACAGCCGGAGTCCCCGGAGCGGCTTCCGGGGGGCGGGTCCGGCTCGTGATTGACAGCCGGAGGCCCCGGAGCGGTTTCCAGGGGCGGGACCGGCGCGTGATTGACGGCTCCGCCCCCCCCCCGCCGCCCAGGGCGTGCGCTTCGACGTCGTCCCCGCCCACTTCCGGGAGGACCTTGCGAAGGCGTCGTTTCCGGCCCCGCCCGCCTACGCCGTGGAGACCGCGCGCCGGAAGGCGCTGGAGGTGGCGGCGCGGCTGCGTGCGGTGAGGCCCCGCCCACACCGGAAGCCCCGCCCAGGGCGCCGCTGACCCCGCCCCGCGGCTAACGACCACGCCCCCTGCTCTTTTAGGACCCACGGCCCCCGGAAGTCGTCATCGGCGCCGATACCGTGGTGGTGAGCGAGGCCCCGCCCCTCGAAGCCAGGCTCACATCGTGACCACGCCACCAAAACCCGCCCGCCAAATGGAAATTGACGTAGGCCCCGCCCCCTGGTCCCTAAACCCCGCCCCGGCCCACTCACTGCCCCGCCCACCCTCAGCCCCGCCCACTCCCGGCCCCGCCCCCCGCAGGCCCTGGACGCGCAGATCCTGGAGAAGCCCCGGGACGCGGCTGACGCCCTGCGGATGCTGCGCAGGTGGGCGGGGCCCGGGCAGGGAGGGGCGGGGCCCGGAGGGAGGGGCAGGGCGGGGCTCCGGGACCCTGACCCTCGACCCCGCTCAGTCTGAGCGGCCGCCAGCACAGCGTCATCACGGGCGTGGCCGTCGTGCGCCCGACGGGGGCGGGGAACCCGGGAACGGAGAGACCGGAAGCGGAAGCGAACCCGGAAGCGGAAGCGGAAGTAAACCCGGACGCGGAAGTAAACCGGGAAGTGCACCCGGAAGTGGATGCGGAAGTGACGCTGTTCCACGAGGAGGCGCGCGTCACCTTCCTCCCGCTGTCCGAGGCGCAGCTGCGCGACTACGTGGCGACCGGGGAGCCGCTGTGAGCGCGGGGGGCGGGGCACCGAGGGCGCGGGGGGCTGCCGACGGCGAAGGCCCCGCCCCCTGATTCGACCCCGCCCCCGCCCCGCCCACCCAGGGACAAGGCCGGCGCCTACGGGCTGCAGGGCGGGGCCGCGGCGTTCGCGGAGCGCGTGGAGGGCGACGCCCTGGCCGCCGTGGGATTCCCCCTGCGCCGCTTCTGCAGGGAGCTGGCGGCCATCTTCCCGGAAGCGACCGCGCCCCCGCCACAGTGACCGCCCCGCCCTCGGGCCACGCCCCGTCGCCCGTCACTCAAGCGCTGAGCCCCGCCCCTCGTCAATAAAAACTCAGAGTTCACTTCCTGTTGTGTTTCCATCGAGGGCGGGGTCACTTCCTGTGCGTGATTGACGGAGTGTGCGGGGTCCGCCCTCAGGCCACGCCCGGAATCAGAGAAAACACCCGGTAAACACATGGACTACATTTCCCAGAATCCTCCAGGGCGCCCCTTTCCGTCCCCCATTGCTTCCCTATTGGCTGAGAACGGACTACATTTCCCAGAATCCCCCTGGAAACCGCATTCCAAGCTTGGACTACATTTCCCAGAAGCCTCCAGGCCGCCCCGTCCATCCCCCATTGCTTCCTTATTGGCCGAGAACGGACCACATTTCCCAGAACCCCCCTGGAAGCCGCATTCCAAGCCTGGACTACATTTCCCAGAATCCTCCGGGCCGCCCCGTCCCTCCCTATTGGCCGAGAACGGACTACCTTTCTCAGAATCCTCCTGGAGGCCCGGTCCCAGGCGCGGACTACATTTCCCAGCATCCTCCGGGCCGCCCGTCCGTCACCCTCGCTGCTTCCCCGCGGGAACCGAACTGTCCGCACTAAGGTTCCGCCCCACCGCGCCTCCTTTAAAGCTCCCAAGGGTGCAAACGGAATAAAAACCGGTTTTATTTTCCCTTCTCTTTGTCGTCCTCGCTTCCGCGGTGTTTTTTTCCTCTCCCAACCGTGAGAAACGCATCGTTTCTCCCTGACACCGAGCCCGTTCTAGGTCCTCGCAGCACCCGGGGAGAGTTTTCCCCGCATCCCGCGCACGGCGGAGCCCAGCGATTGCAAAGTCACCCAGGGTGAAAGCGGTCACCGGGCGTGGCGGGAGGAGCCCAAGGGAGACCGCGACGGCGCTAAGACCTTTGCATCTTCTTCCCGAAGCTCCAGGACTTCAGCGCTATGGCACCAGCAATTTTATTTTATTTTATTTGTTTATTTGATTTTATTCATTTTATTTTATTTCAATTTATTTTATTTTATTTTATTTATTTTATTTCATTTGATCTATTTTATTTATTTTATTTTATTATTTTATTTCAATTTATTTCATTTTATTTATTTTATTTATTTTATTTTTTATTTATTTTATTTTATTTATTGATTTTATTTTATTGATTTTATTTTATTGATTTTATTTTGGTTATTTATTTTATTTTATTTATTTTATTTATTTTATTTTATTTATTGATTTTATTTTATTGATTTTATTTTATTGATTTTATTTCATTTTATTTTATTTATTTTATTTCAATTTATTTTATTTTATTTATTTTATTTATTGATTTTATTTTATTGATTTTATTTTGTTTATTTATTTTATTTATTTTATTTATTGATTTTATCTTATTGATTTTATTGATTTATTTTATTTTATTTTTCTGGTTTTTCGAGACTGGGTTTCTCTGTATTGTCTTGGAGGCTGTCCCGGAACTCACTCTGTAGACCAGGCTGGCATCGAACTCACAGAGATCCACCTGCCGGCATTCAAGGCGTGTGCGCCACCACCGCCCCGGCGGCACCAGCAGTTGCTAGCTAAGCTACTCACCACGCCCTCTTTCCCATGCTTTATTTTAATAAATTTTATTTCAGTTAGAAACAATCTGAGCTTCCACGTCAACCCCGATTCCCTAACTTCCCTTCCTCCCTGGCCATTTAACTGCCAGTGCCTCGGCCCCCCGCCCTCCTCACTTGTAGTCGCAATCGATCCTCAGATCGTGGTGGAAGTTATTCCCTTGCAGGTTATTATCACCCCATAGTAGTCATTTCTAAAAAATTCTTCTTGAAATATAAAATTATCAGGCTACGCATGAGGGATGTTTTTTGGTTTTCAACTTGACTACATATGGAATGGATTAAAACACACCGCGTTTCAGTTAATTTAGCAAAATTGCCAAAACGGTTTGAACATCCTGATTCGCCTATTATGAGAAACAGGGATTTGGTGACTCTCTATGGAAACCTTTTGGCGTTTTGTGGAAAAATAAGGAGAACGATGATGATGGTTTCTTGTTCCTAGCGTCTCTGGATGAATTGACAAAGGAAAAGGATGAGCTCTGTGATAAAAAACACTCAGGTCTAGCATCTCAGAATACGGTAGAGGAAAACCATGGACTCAGGGATACATTGACTCGCTCCAGATGCGTATGATTAGCGCAAGGTTTTCTAAGGTGACCTTGAAGAAAAGCTTCCCTCCCCCAGTCACAGAACCCAAAATTCAGAAAATAAAACTGAGTTATAAGATTGACCAAATCACAGAGAAAATTCAAGTTCTCAGAGGATGCCAGCAGTTAATGGAAGGGCATTAATTGTTAAAGAAAGGAATCCTGTAACTTGTGGTGAAGATGTGTAGACGGACCCCAATGTGACTAATAACTTGAATCCCATCTTTATTTTCCTAATTAAAAAAATAATTTTAAAAGATGTATGTATATGGTGCTGTGTCTGTCTGTCCATCTGCAGGCCACAAGAGGTCATCAGATCCCAATAGATGGAGTTTAAGGGTGTAGGACAATGATGGAAGGAGCATAAAAGTGAATCAGACTGTGTTTATGGATACAGGCTCAGAGGATGGAGATCCTATATCTAATATGGAAGCTCACATAGTTTAAAATGTATCAAAAGTTTGTTTGGTTGGTTACCTAAAGCAAACAAAAAGGATAGAAATAGAAACAAAGGGAAATACAAATAATGAAACAAAGTCGGATCTTTGAGAAAACCAATACTATGAATAAACTCTTAACCAAACTAACAAAAAGACAGAATATTTGAATTAACAAAATTAGAAACAAAAGGGGCTCATAACAGGGAAATCCAAAGAACAGTTAGGTCATAATTTAAAAACCTGTAATCCACAAAATTGGAAAATCTAAAAGAAATGGACAACTTCCTGATAAGTAACAGTTATGTAAGTTAAGTCAAGATAAGATAAACAATGTAATAGACCTATGACCCCCAAGGAAATAGAAGTCATTAAAACTCTGCCAACTGAAAAAGCTCAGGGACAGATGGTTTTATCACAGAAGTCTTTCAAACTTTCAAAGAGTTAATGCCAATACTCTTCAAATTATTCCACAAAACAGAATAGAAGTAACCTTGCTAAATTCATTTTATGAAGCCACAATCACCTTGATACCCAAAGCACATGAGTTTCGACAAAGAAAGAATTACAGATCATTTTAGTCATTAACATAGATGCAACAATACTCAGTGAAATACTCACAAACTGAATCCAAGAACATGTTAAAAACTTCATCCACCATGGTCAAGTAGGCTTCATCCCAGGGATGTAGAGATGGTTCAATGTATGAAAATCTTTCATTGAATCCTCCATATAAACAATCTGAAATGCAGAAAAGACATAATTATTTCATTAGATGCTGAAAACGCCTCTGAAAATTCCAACACTTCATTATAATAAATGTCTTGGAGAGATCAGGGATACAAGGAACATATGTAAACAAAATAAAAGCTATATTCAGCAATCCAACAGCCAATTTCAAATTAAATGGAGAGAAACTCAAAGTAATTCCACTAATATTAGGAACAAGACTGTCCACGTTCTCCATACCTATTCGATAGAGTACTTGAAGTTCTAGCTAGAGCAATAATAAAACAAAAAGGAGAGTACAGGGATACAAATTGGAAGGGAGAAGTCGAAATATTGATATTTGCAGATGATGTAATGGTTTACATAATTTATCCCCAAATTTCTACCTTCAGTGAAGTGGCTGACTGCAAAATAAACTCAAAACAAAATAAAATCCAATAACCCTCCAAAATACAAACAGTAATGGGACTGAGAAAGAAGCCAGGGAGATAACATCCTACACAATAATATAAAATATTTTAGTGTAACTGTAACCAAGCAAATGAAAGACTTGTATGGTAACAGCTTCAAGTCTTTGAAGAAAGAAACTAAAGAAGATATCAGAAGTTGAAAAGATCTCCCAGGCTCATGAATTGGTAGGATTAAAATAGTAAAAAACACCATTTTACCAAAGGCAATCTATAGACTCAACACAGTACCCATGATAGTTCCAACACAATTCATTTTGCTCTTTTTTTAATGGATTAATTTGCATTCCAATCCCAGTTCCCATCCTCTTCTCTCCTTCCCCTCCCCTCACTTTCCCCCTCCCATCGGCTCCTCAAGGAAGGTGATGTCTTCCCTAGGAAGTCTAAATCTGTCCCATCATTTTGTTGATGCAGGACCAAGGCACCTCTTTACCCTCTATGCCTCTGTGCTAGGCTGAGCAAGGTATCTCTCCATGTAGAATGGGCTCCACTAAGTCCGTCTGTGCGTTAAGTGTTAGCTCTTGGACCCACTGCCAGGGGCCTCATATATTGCCCCAGTTGCACCATTATCACCCATATTAATGGAATCTAGTTTAGTCTTACGCAGGTTCCCTGTTCGTCAGACTGGGGTGAGTGACCTTCCACCAGCTCAGGTCATCTGATTCTGTATTTTCCCATCATGGTCTTGACGCCTTTGTTCATATTATTGACCCTTCCTCACTTTGATTGTACTTCAGGAGCTCTTGTGCCTATGTGTTTAAGTGTATTTCCCAGTTTCTCTTCTATAAGGTTTAGCATGGATGGATTTATATTGAGGTCTTTGAATCATTTGGACTTGAGTTTTGAGCATGGTGATAGATATAGATCTATTTGCATTCTTACACATATTGACAGTCAGTTGTACCATTACCATTTGTTGAATATGTCTTATTTTTCCCATTTTATATTTTTAGTTTCTTTGTCAAAACTTAGGTGCTCATAGGTGAGTGGGTTGCTATCAGGGTCTTTGATTCGATTCCATTGGTACACCATCTGTTTTTATGTCGATACGAAGCTGTTTTCATTACTGTAGTTCTACAGTAGAGCTTGAAGTCGGGGATGGCGATGCCCCTGGATGATCCTTTATTGTACAGGATTGTTTTGACTATCCTGGCTTTTTTTTTCATTTTTGAACCAACGCAATTCTTTATGGAAATTGAAAGAACAATACTGAACATCATATGGAAAATGAAACAAAC